ATAAGAATTTGAGAATGGTTTTACCTTGTATGCATTTCCTTACTGATCAGATTCTCCTAGAATGTGTGTAGGACTTTCACTTTTTTGGACAGTTATGGGCTGAACTGTGTCCGTCCCTCCCAACCCCCCCACCTGGCAAAACTCATTCGTTGAAGTCTTAACCCCCAGTAATCCAGAATGGAATATTTGGAGATAAGTTCTTTAAAGAGGCAGTTAAAGTGAGGTCACGAGGGTGGGCCCTAATCCAGTAAGAAAAGGAAATTTGGACACGGACACACACGTGGGCATGACAGAGGAGAAGACAGAGGGGAAAACAGCCACCTACAAGCTGAGGCGAGAGGCCTGGAACAGATCCTGCTGTCATGGCCCTCAGAAGGAACCGACTCCGAAGGTGACACCTTAACCTTGGACTTCCAGCCACCAGAACTGTAAGAAAATACATTTCTGTTGTTTGAGCCACCCAGTCTGTGGTACTTTACAGTAGCCCTAGCAAACTAATACAGACAGGTATACACAGACATGGGTCTAAAGCAATCCTAGCCCGACAAGGATTCACCAATAATTCACCTTCCAGGCCACCTACCATTGTCTTTCCTCTTTCTACCTCAGTGACTTACGGACTTTCTTTACAGTGAGCAGTATCTGATTGCCACACTGGTTTCTCATCCTTGGGCACATTCCATGGTGCCTGGAATGGACCATCACGGTCTGCTCTATCCATTTTACCTCATCAAGCCAATCCGCAGAAGTCATGTCTCCTCTACAGGGCTCACACACTTGTAAACTCTTCTGGAAGCTTACTTTGAATCACTCTAGATTTCTGTGTCTGAATAAAACATCTATGGTTCCCTCAAGGTTTCATCTTGAGAGCATGGAAATCAGCCTGGCCGGTTACCTTCATTATTTCAAACCCTCAGGAATTAGTTACCGCTGCTTCAGTTCCCCCTCAGGCTAGTCTTTCTGTCCCTGGCCAGCCCAACCATTCACCCATAAGCAACACCTGCAGGCCCACCAGGTGGATCAGCCTTAAACAGGAGGAGCAGGGGGTGTCCTGGTGATAGGACTTCAGAGGCCTTGGTGGGCCTCCATCCAACACACCTCTGCTACTGACCTGCTAAATTCCCTAAATCTTCCTACTGCTTCATTTACTCTGGGCTCAAGAAGGCTTCAGCTAAAATACGTCCAGGAAGGTAAGTTGCTGCCATCATGGATAGAATGAATGTGTGACTGTTTACCATCAAGACCACAGCCAGCGAGCCGGGCGCTGAGGAAAGGGACACAGAAGGAGCCGTGGGAGCTGAGAATGGGAGGGAGGAGAAACAGGTGCAGAACATGAAACGAGACTGGTCAGGGAGGCCAGGTCCCCCTCAAGCACTCATCTTGTAGTTGTAAAGGCTTTAGAGCTTACAAAGCCCTTCACATTCCAATCACCTCACCTGGTCCAAACAATGAAAAAGAGGCAAAACACACACCCCCATTTTCAAGTCAATGATTCTGAAGCCCAGGTGACTGACTAGGAAGCAACAGAGCCCAGTGCTTCTAATTCCTGGTCCAGCTCTTCTTATGGTGCAACGGTTAAGAGTTCCCATCCGAAGACACAGATCTAGAGGAAATCCAAACTGAGACTGATTAGTCTTAGAATCATGTGCAAGTTACCTGACCCCTCCAAGCCTCAGCTTCTCTCCTGTAGAGTGGGATGTTATAAAGATCTGAGCGCAAGCACGTACAGCTTAGCATAGTGCCCAGCATAAACACGCAGGTGTAAGCCGTTAGCGCTCATCTCTCGGACCCTTGAGAGAAAGCAGTGGTTCTCACCCTGCCACCCACTCCCCCCCCTCCAGGAGCTCCCCGCCGCCCAGGCTACCCAGGCCGCCCACCAGACTACTCGTTCAGACTCCGCAAGTATATGGTCTGGATGTTTTTTTTTTTTTAAAGCCTCGTGGGTGATTCTGATGCTGAGTGCCACAATTAAGAACAAGTGATATAAAGCACTATTTCAAGCTGGAAGGGGCATTCAAACCACCTGAGGATCTTGTTCAAATGCAGATTCGATTGAGTAGGGTGGGGGTGGGGTCTGAGACTACATTTCTAAACACAAACCCAGGTGACGCTGAACCTGAACAGGTCGTGCTTTAAGTAGCAAACAGATTATCACAGGAGAGAAGAGGGGTGACCAAAAAGAGATGGGGGTGACAATAGGAGTAATTTTGACATACTGAGATCTAGAGAAGTCATTCTGGCTTATCGACGAGTTAACTTGAATTTTACGCTACCTGAAACAGCCTGTTTGTGGGCTATCAAACATACATTGTACACCTGTTTTAATTACTAAAGGAAAGGACACACTAACCAGAAGACCATCCATGTTAAAAATAAAGATTAAAGGCCCCTCTGCCTGGGACGCCAACGTTAATCCTCCTTTGACGATAAAATTCACTTCCCAGGTGCCAAGTCCATCCTGTACCTGCTGTACGTATACATCCTGGTCTGTTTTTTTGAAACCCTGAAGAAATGTATCCCTGACTTGTTTAATGTACTTTGTTCTGACAGGATATAAAACTGTGCTAAATACCCTGCTTCTTTGGAGCTATTTCTTAGAGTGATTTGGGAAGCAGCCTTCTGGGCTAGTCCTCAGTTATGGCTCCAATAAGACTCTCTTATTATTTTCCGTCGACCCACGTGAGGGGTGGGGACCAAAAATCAACCAAACCCCCCAGGAAGACCTAAGGCCCAGACTCAGCGGCCACCACTGCGCAGGCCGGACCTCACTCGCTGGTAACTCGCTCCTCTTCCTCTGCAGCCACGTCGGACAAACCCGCTAGGGCTGAGATTGAGAAAGTCGGTAAGTTGAAATTGAAGAAAACAGAAACGAAAGAGAAAAATCCACTGCCTTCAAAAGAAACGACTGAACAGGAGAAGCAAGCAGGCGTGCACCGCCAATATGCACTGTACATTCCACAAGCATTGCCTTCTTATTTTACTTCTTTTAGCTGTTTAACTTTGTAAGATGCAAAGAGGTTGGATCAAGTTTAAATGACTGTACTGCCCCTTTTCACATCAAAGAATGGAAAACTACTGACAACGAGGGCCGCGCCCGCCTCTCCCACCCACCTGTCTAGCTGGCAGAGAAGGAAAAGAACTTGCATGTTGGTGAAGGAGGCTGGGTGGGACAACAGTGAAACCTAGAGTAAAGAGCAAGCTGGTCCAAGGTGTCCTGCGGGCTGTAAAATGCAGTTTAATCAGACTGCCATTTTTTGTTGTTCAAATAATTACTGGAATGCACAATTTTTTAATATTCAAGTTTTAAAACCTGGGGGAAAAAACACCTAAGGCCCAAGTGGGCCCCTCAATATCATTAAACGACAATGAAGAAAAGCAGAGCCTGACACACAGGAGGCTCTCACCCAACAGTCACCGGCACTAGTCGTCACAACGGCCACCTCCACGACAGAGAAGGATGTGCGTGTCTCCTCCTCCTCCAACCATCACCTCTACTTGGCCCCTCCTCCCCTACGAAATTTGCTTCTCCCGCCCCACGATACCTTTACTACATTTCTGGACTTCGATGTGAAGAACCGCCCTGACAGAGGGTACTCTCTCCTCGCCCTGGATCCCCTTGCTCACCGGTTCTTTTTCACCAGCCCTGAATCACCACCTTCACCCTCCCACTTCACTCCTGCATCCGCCCGAGCAGGGTCCGGAACCACGATGGATCAGCCACCTCACCGGAGGCTTCCGCGTCCGCTTACAGACCCTGCCCAGGACGCAGCTCCTCCTTCCCTGGCTCCTGGCTTTTATTTCTCCAAACGAACAGCTCCAAGGTTTCATCTAGCTTCCCGAATTTCAACGTTTCTTTCTACAAACCTTGGATCCCACGCTCCCGAGAAGGTTAGGACCGACAAGCAGCCGCTTCATCCTCTTCGGCTCGCCCTCGGGCTGTGGTTTTTCAAGCCAGGCTGCAGATCAGAATCACCTGGGGCCCCTCTGTGACCACGCCCTCCACCGTCCCTGGATTTAATTGTCTGAGGCTGAGCCTCGTTAAAAAAAAAAGCAGTATGCCTCCGAACCAGGAACAAGCTGCCGCCCCACAATTGAAGGAGGCATCATCACCTCTCGTGGGGAAGGCGGGGAGAGGAGGGTTTTATCCTCATCTCATCTGTGACGGTTCCCACAATGACCTTAAGAGAGTTCTAGAAGCCGGGGGGGGGGGGGGGGGCCAGTTCTAAAGATGTCACAATTTATACTTCATTAACCTCAGCTGGGAAGGCCGGACCGCTTCTCTGGGTTCTCCCAGCAGAGCCGGGTACAGAGCAGCTGACAACTCTGTAGAGTGTGAATTACTCTCCAGCAAAGAACAGAGAGAAGAACCCAATGGCCCCACGCCTCTAATTTCATGAGCCATGGACTACAACCTTTAGGACACATTTTTATAACAAGTCAATTTAAAAAAAAATCATTTTCAGGGACTTCCCTGGTTGCTCAGTGGTTAGGACTTCGCCTTCCAAAACAGGAGGTGCCGGTTCCTTCGATCCCTAGTCGGGGAGCTAAGATCCCACATGCCCCGTGGCCAAAAAACCAAAACATAAAACAGAAGCAATATTGTAACAAATTCAATAAAGACTTTAAAAATGGTCCAAGTCAGAAAAATCTTTAAAAAATCATTTTCCAACACAGATAAGAACATGACTTCCAGAGTTTAAAAGGCAGCTAACATAGCAGAAAGCTCAATCTAATGAATGCAAAGACATTTCCTGACTTTGTATTATACCTAAATAACCTTCCTCCAAGATGGGATTCAGCTGAACGTGTCTGGTTTACTAAATCTAGAAATTTAATGAAAACTACACTGCATAGAAAATGACAAACACTATAAATGAACAGACTATATTTTACTAGTTAAAGAAATTTAAAAAAAGAAATTAAGCCATTCAGGAAATAGCTGTAATCTCTGCAAATAAATTTCACCCACCACATAAACCCTGTAAAGGAAAACATCGTACCTGATGAGATCTGGTTCTGCACCCTCGTTCTTAAAGGATGTCAGAAGTAGTCTCTCTCGAGTTACAAGATCATCCAAAAGGTTTTGTCTTCGGTCTCCTTCGAGCTGTGTTCTGCAGGCATCTCGTTAAGGTCCAAGAGCAGGCAAATTACCTCATTTGACCTATTACGTTAAGCGAGCTCTCCAAGTCAGAAAGGACTGTTACAGACTGATCAATCCTACCCAGAAGAGGCCTGAACCAACCTTCTCCTTCTGCTCTAACCTCAGACTTCACTGATCCTTCCAGTAAAGGACCAGGACAGAACCATCGCAGAGGGACTTAACAAACACTGACACAGATCTGCCACACGAGATCCTTCACTGAGAAATACAGTTGGTAAACACGATTTTCCTCCCAGTGGCCACCCCTGAAATGTCTTTCCTCTCAACAGGGCAATGTGACTCAGGGAGTCATCAGGCTTTCAGTTTTAGGTCACAGTGGTCAAGGGTTTTTCCTAGACACTAATACCCTAAGATACTCTGCTAAAAAAGGAAAAAGAGAAAGAAAAGTTTTCTATGTTGCCCCCTTTCTTCCATGTTAATGAACACCTATTAACACACCTGGAATATATTTTGTAAAGGGCTACTTTATGCAACAGATTTGCTCTAAAAAGCTGTTACCATCGGCTCATTAAATACATTGCATAAGCTTTAATTCTCAACAAAATTACAAAGAAATAATCATATTTTAATGTGTTAATCTACTAAGCATGTTCGACTAGGAGTCCAAAGGCCAGCTAGTCCTATTTTGATCCTTACCTATGATCCTGAACCAATTACTTCACCTTTTTGAATTTTTTTCTTTATATGGCACCCAGATAATCTCTCACACCTCTTCTGGCACAATCCATGGCCACAGTTTTCCTGGTTCCAGTAAAAGTGGGACTACTACTTTGGATTTCTGGATTTATAGATACCTGTCCTTTCAAGAGGGGATATTAAACCCTGCATTTAGGCCCCAGAAGTTTTGAGAACTTGGCAGAATCAAGTAAGTTTCCCTGGGTGGGAAAACCACGGCCCAGTGAATCTACTTTTGTTGATAATTTTGAATAGAAAAAGCTGGCCAACTAGCAAAAAAAGCAAATAAACCCATCAAAAATGTTCCCCAGTAACAGATACTAGTTAGAAAAATCATAAATCCCCCCCAAACCAATGTAACTAAGGAGTGTTAGTGACTTTGACTACTTAAAAACTAATAATGGATACGTTCTCTCAACATTCCAGAATGCCACGCTTTCCTGAGAAAAATGACTACCATCGCTCTTCC